GATCCCGGTTATGTATTTGTTCTTGATACGGGAAATAAGATATTTATGTGGTATGGGAAGAAAGCGAAGAGCACATTAAAATCAAAAGCACGACTGATGGCAGAAAAAATTAATAAGAACGAACGGAAAAATAAAGCCGAGATTCTAACGGACGTCATGGGTGTCGAATCCGAAGATTTCCTGCTGCATTTAGGAGTGGAAGACTACGAACAACAAAATCTGCAAATTGTTGTAAGTTTCTTTTCTATAATATACGTAGTAGCAGTAATAAAAATACTATCTATATATAAGTTTGAAATTTTATTTAATTCATCTTACTTTTAATAATTATTTAATAATTATTTTTTCAATCGTGTATATTACGCTAATCGATTCATTTACTTTTACAATAGGAGCATGTGGATCCAAATTTTGTGCCTCTCGTGCCCAGATTATATCAAGTTCAACTTGGAATGGGTTATCTAGAACTTCCGCAGGTCGAAGTTCCTCACGGAAAGTTAACGAATACCTTGCTAAACAATCGCAATGTGTATATATTAGATTGCTATTTAGATGTGTATGTTTGGTAAGTGTAAAGAATGTTTCTTAAATCTTAAGTCTCTTAAATTTATATTAACTAAATTGATTACACGCTTTAGGTTTGGTAAAAAATCGACGAGATTAGTACGCGCCGCTGCTGTGAAACTATCTCAAGAATTATTTAATATGATAGAAAGGCCAGAATATGCGATGGTAACGAGATTGCAAGAGGGCACTGAATCACAGGTATGAATATGCTTTTTTAACTAATTTTAAAAAATTCAATTTATAAACTCTATTTATTGAAAAATATTTGCTTTATATATTATATAGATTTTCAAGTCTAAATTTACCGGATGGGACGAAGTAATCGCTGTGGACTTCACTAGAACGGCTGAATCGGTCGCTAAAACTGGAGCGGATCTTACTAAATGGGCTAAGCAACAGGAAACAAAGGTACATTTACATTTCATAACTGCATTTTTGTTTTATATTATTTTTATTTAAGATTATTATTAGTTTAAGTTTATTTAAGTTCAAATGACTACAAATATGGTATATATGCATGTGTATATATATATATATATAGTATATGTATTGTGTGTGTGTGTGTAAAATTCACATTGAATTATTTAAGCATTAAAGATCTAGTTTCGACCGGTATAGGCATTTCTAGTTCATATTGATTGTGTTCTCACATATGGTCTAAAATATGATTCTTATTGTTTAAGTTTATTTATTTTTTAATATGATTTTTAGGCGGATTTGGCCGCTTTATTTATGCCACGACAACCACTAATGTCGGCTGCCGAAGCGTATCAACTCATGGCGGAATGGAACGATGATTTGGAAGGAATGGAAGCATTAGTGTTAGAAGGAAAAAAATTCGTACGCCTACCGGAGGAAGAGTTAGGACATTTTTACAGTGCAGATTGTTATGTTTTCTTATGCCGATATTGGATGGTACGTAAAATGTATTATCATATCAATGCAAAGCTATCAAATTTACGGTTAATTGTCATTTTACTTTTGATTAAATCAGCCATTGGATATAACTGAGAATGAAGACGGTGAGGAGCAATACGAAGACGATTATCAGTGCACGGTGTATTTCTGGCAAGGCAGAGACGCGGGAAACATGGGATGGCTGACGTTTACGTTTAGGTAAAGACTATAGACATTTACCTAATCTGCGATTTCTACAGATTTATGTTCCACAGATTTATTCAATCTGTGATTGTCAATATAAGGTGAATCATATCTTTTTGTTTCAGTCTGCAAAAGAAATTTAAATCATTGTTCGGAGAAAATCTGGAAGTTGTAAGGACACATCAACAGCAAGAAAATCTAAAGTTCATGAGTTACTTCAAACGAAAGTTCATTATTCATCAAGGCAAACGTAAACAGCCAAAAGTTGCAGGTAGTAACAAAGTAGAATTCTATCATTTGCGAAGTAACGGCAGTGCCTTATGTACTCGGCTCATTCAAATACCGGCGGATTCGACGTTATTAAATCCTGCTTTCTGGTGAGATATATTTCGTTAAGTACGCATGATTGCATTCCGTTTGTAAAATATTTTATCTTTTTTTGTTTGCAGTTATCTTTTAAATGTGCCATTTAACAATTCTGATGAAGGAACTGGTATCGTGTACGCATGGATTGGATCAAGAGCTGATCCCGAAGACGCTCGTCTAATCGGAGAAATAGCAGAGAAAATGTTCAACAATGTGAGTTATAACTGTTTTGTGCTTAGATCTTAAATTGGATTTTGTTCAACTTAAACGATTGCAAATATAAATATCTATTAAATATTTAAATACTTAACAGATATTTAAGGGGAAACCACCATTCTTAAGGTTTGAAAAAAATCGAATTTTTTTTACTTAAATTTATATTTTATATTGTTAAGAATATTTCAATAGTTTTAAGTCAATCTCGTAACTGTATAATCTCATTAAAGTTAATATCTTGCATCGCCTCACCTCGCCGCTCCAAGCGGCGGACGTTGCATAGATCTCAAATGGGAACTTAAATTTTCAAAGAAACAAATTTTAACAGATAAATGTACACTTGTATATGGCACAGGTATTGCAGACTAAGACACAATTCTGATTATAATCTTATAAACAAAAAATTCCAAAAAACTTTAAACATGTTTTTCTCAAAATAAAGTTTTCGATGTACATGACAATTTTTACAATAATTCTTAATCGATTCACTTGAAATTTGCACAGATTATTCTCAGCATTTAAAGATGAAATTTTTTATCGACAATGTTATTTTTTTCATTTATCATTTTTATTACAATAAAAAATTTTGTGTTAAATTTAACATATTTCACATATCCCAAATGGTTCAAAATTTTTTGGATTTTTGTTTCACATCAAAAGGCGTAGAAAATTTTATGTACACTGCATATGCTCTCGCCAAAAAAAAAGAGGCTCGATGATATTGATATAGCGTCGCCATTTTGTGTGATAAAAATTCAAAAAATCCTTTTGTACTTTCGAAAGTTCATATAGTAAAGCTCTTGAGAACGATTTTTGATTGACTTTATTAGTTTACTGCAAAAAAATTTAGTTTAACCCGAAGTTAGGTATTATTTTTAGGCCTCAAGGGTAGTGTTCCTCCTTAAATATTCTTTTTGTTCCTATGAAGTAAAGTTTGCAAGATAGATGAAAAAATGTTTTTGTCTTCCATTGTTGATAATAAATATAAATTGAATATACAGCCATGGATAAGCCTGCAAGTATTAAACGAAGGCGAAGAACCAGACAATTTCTTCTGGGTGGCGCTTGGGGGGAAGAAACCATACGACACTAATGCAGAGTTTATGAATTACACAAGATTATTTAGATGTTCCAACGAGAAGGGGTACTTTACAATCAGCGAAAAGTGCACCGATTTTTGTCAAGTAAATTTTCAATTTCAAATAGGAAAATATTTCGATATTAATAGCAATAGCCTCTGGTATATTATCGGAGTTCTTTAGGTTTTTTATAATAAATGAATCATGAGTTATTTTTTGTAGGACGATTTGGCAGATGATGATATAATGATACTCGATAATGGAGAACAGGTATTTCTTTGGCTGGGTACTCGCTGTTCAGAAGTTGAAATCAAACTGGCCTATAAATCAGCTCAGGTAAGTTATACAAGTTTAATCGTCATAATTTTTATGAAAATTCTACAAACATTTCATAAAATAAATTAAGGCTCCTGACTAGTTGCAGTGGCATGTTGGAATCATGAAGTTAGAAGCGAGAAATGACACGTTAATTTATGTTATGTGCCATTTGTAAGTAAAGACAATTTGGATAAATCTAATTAACGTCGTAAAAGGCACCTAAAGTGAGTTTATATTTGGGCAGAAACATGGTTTGACAGTTGTTGAAACGAGTAAAAAATACGTTTTTACATAAAATTCCAAGATAATTTTAGTTTTTGTCGATAATTACGACTTTGATAAGTACAAGAAACAAGTGTTATTTTCACAATTAAGCAAATAACGAAATGGCATACAACATAAATTTCATCGTCAAAACGTCATTTTTCCACGCCTATAAATTCAGTCATTTATCGTAGTGCTGTAACACATACAAGCCCATGCATGTGTGCTCGCCTTCGATGCGCCGAGAGTGAACGAGGCAGCGAACTCCTCACACTAGTCGCTTATTTCAAGCGACTGAAAATGTTTTCTCGGTAATCTCAGCCGCTCGGTGACTCTCGGCATTATAAGAGACGAGGAGCATTCTAAATAACATATAAGTTTTAATAAATTATAATATATCTTTCCCATTAATCCAGAATAGTATAAATTATGTTAAAACGCAATAGTTTATTAGAAGAAGCTTAACGTTTGGGCACATAATTGATAATAGCCAAAATGAGTAACATCACTTATTTAATTTGAGCACTTGAACACCAAAAAACAATAATGTTTGTAAGCATGATTGTTTTTTGATGACTTCGCTTTAGGATTCCTTTAATTCTAAACGAATCGGTCAATGTAAAATATCAGCAATTTAACATGTTTTTTTTCTTCCAGGTATACATTCAACACTTGCGCGTAAAGCAACCTGACAAACCCCGTAAGTTATTTTTAACTGCCAAAGGTAAAGAATCTAGAAGATTTACGAAATGCTTTCATGGCTGGGGTTTACACAAGAGGCCGCCGCAGTAAAATCAAGTCAGTGTTCACTACGCTTACCGTTTGGAGTTAGTTTTATATGCAGGCAGGGTATGACACAAGCGCAACATTTTTATGTAGATTCCTAATGTGTCGCAATTTTCGTTCTTATTCGTGTTTCATATGCCGGCCAAACGGAGGTCCATTGCAATAATCTGTGTGTCCTCGATGCAAACGATCAATCTAGATCAGGAAATAAAATAATTGTTCACTAAATAACAACGAATCTAACTTTTAAATAACTTCATATTTCCACGTTTGCTTGTTTGCTTTCGACTTACTGGATAATTCTTCACCAATTGCTTTCTTGAATACTACGCGTCTGCTTAATATACGTAATTTAATTCAGATTTCTATTTATTAGCACGGGCACTTTTTCGAAAAAATCAGTCTCATTTTTTAATACAAACGGATGCAAGTACAGAGTTTTTTTTTCTCGTATTTTCATCTTTAAGTCCAACAAGATTCTCTCTGTGATGCGATTCTCTATTTTACATTGTGAAACAGATTCGTCTACCTTATAATCGTTATTATTATCCATGCTCTGTGTATTCAAAGAGACTTATTTATTTATTTATTCACATATATATTTCCATATTTATAAACTTTCGTACAGACTAGACTATGTATCCGTTTTTTTATTTTCCGCAAGTTTATGTTTCAATAATGTGATAGACACTTTTTAAAAATTGTTCGATGAATTGTGATACAAACGTTTATCGTCGAATTGTAATGTAAAAAAAAAGCATTTTCATCTTTCTATAGAAAAGTAACAATTCTTATATAAGAAGAAATAAATCAATTTGTATAGTCCTGAAAGGGTTAAAGTAAGATTTTTTTACAAGTTTTCTAGAGTGCACTTCTATCAAACACTGTTATAAACTGCCAATTTTGAGCAGATTATTGGAAATCGCATTTGGAAATTTGTGAATATTAATCGAAGACTGAAAAGAGATGTAATTACAATCGCATGTACACATCTGATTATTAACACCGCCCGATTGTACAGATGCCATAATGAGCGTTTTTGTATTACTTATATTGTATTTAACACAATTTATTTATAGATATAATATATACATAGATTTATAAATACATAGATTTTGTAAAACTTCTACTTAACAACAATTGTATAAATAAATATTTCTATGATAATTTACATAATCTCAGGTATTGAAGCTTAAGTAAGGTACCTAAGTAATATAAGGGAAGAGATTTCTCTTCCTCTATTTCATATACATTTGCTGATCTTATATCACTGCAACGTCTTGAATCTGAAAACAAGTCAGATACTATTTTAAACTAGGCAAAAAATAATCAACAAAAATCAAAATTTGAAATTATAGTCAATCAAAATGTAAAAATTATAGGTATCAACAATCATGTTAGAATTGACAACTATTCAAAATATATTATTGAAATACACACACACACACACACACACGCGCGCGCACACACACACACACGCGCGCGCGCACACATATATAATTAACAGATTATTTTAAAGTTATTATCTGTTTATTTTAATTTATAAAATTATAGGAAAAGGAAGAAATATTATATAAAACATATAAGAAATACATACGTTTCGACGTCGATCGGTATCATTCTCAATGTTAGAAAAATTAAAAAATAAAAATAATAATGTTACAATAATTGTCGGATTCGCATATTAAAATGTTCTATACGTTGTATAGTAAAATTAAAAAATGTAGATACATATCTAATGCTCCTATGTTCCTTCTTTGTTAACTTGGCGTAAGCTAGATGGTAAATTGCTACTTCGATTGCTAGGTAGGGTGTGACATACCCGAACTTGTTTTTTGTACTAGTTTTAGACAGATTTTTTGTACTAATTTTAAGTAATATTATCTAAAAGTACTTCATAAGACAGCTTCATAAGGATCTCCTACTAAAAATTTATATAACAAATAAAATATTCAGAATTATGAAAATTATGTTTATTAAAATTTTAATCAAGCTAGTAACAATTTTAAACGTTAAAGAGATTAATGTGTCCAGGAAAATCTATATCGACTTAAAATTAAATAGAAATAAAAAGATAGTCTTTCTTCTTTTTAACAAATAAACTATAAAAAAAAATAATAAAATGTTAGCAGTTAATCTTCACAAAGTTCTGCGTTTGTAATTCAGTCTTTGCACTGAAATATGGCATGTTTCATGCACAATGGTTTGTAGCAAGTGGTACAGAAATATTTAGGTTTTCTATCTTCTTCTTACTTCTCCCCGCATTCTTATTCGACATATCAACGCAAACGACGCAAAATAAAAATCATAAATCAAAATCGGTCGAGTGTGACACCTGACCTAGTTTATGGCAGGTTAAGAATCTGTGTGGTCCATTAAAATATTCAATATAAAACGATGAAAACTATCTAATTAAACTCAACTAATATGATTGGAACGATAGTGGTATTTTTATTTTTCTTCTCAGAACAAGTAATAAATATATATGTACCTTCTTCACACTGTTATGAATTAGAAATTAACAAGAGGAATGTAATGGATATTGTAATATTATAAACCATAGTGCAGTGCAAGAACAAAGAGACGTATAACATCGATAATATCAGACAACGTTCTCTGAGACATTTTTTAATTTTATTATATAATGTACAGAACATTGTTATTTTAATATGCGAATCCGACAATTATTGTAACATTATTATTTTAATTTTTTAATTTTTCTAACATTGAGAATGACCTGATTGGCGTCGAAACATATTTCTCATATGTTTGATTTTAAGTATTAAATGTTATTAATGTTAACTGGCTCGTAGCCCTCCTTAATTTTTATATTTGATTTATTTGAACCATTCTATCAATTTATATATATAAAACATTAACTTTTTTAAACATTTTTTTCAACAATGTTTTAAGCAGAATGTTTTATATCATATATAAATATACATTTCTATATAAAAATGAATTTTTAGTGTAAAAATGAAAATAAGAGAAACAATCTCTAATTGACCTTGATCTTAACAAATGTTATCTAGAATCCTAAACATTTAAGAGGATTTAGCCGTCGATCGGACATCTTGCGTAATGCTAATGCCGGCGGTACTATAACTTTCAAGCCTAACTCGAAAAGTACTTTATGAAAAAATATTTTATTATAGTATTTTGGAAAGCTCTCGAGGTATGCTACAAGAATATGCAATAAAAAAATGGGGAGTTCCATTTAAAAAATTCATGTTGACCTTGACCTGATCTTGATAGTGCTCCTTATTCAAAATTCATTATTTCCACTTTTTTTCCCCGAAAAAAACCTACAACTTTCATATAAAACTTTTTCTTGTATCTCTCTTAGTTTCTGAGATATTTGTCTGGGGCAATTAAAATGAAACACACGTATGTTTATATTTTTTTCTATGTATGCTTTTGCATATGATTGCTATAAATTATACTACGAATATATGAAAAATTACCTTCAAGAGCATCAAGAGCACGTCTAATCGTCTGAGTATTTTGAACAATCACAATGAAATGAAACTAGCTGGTCGCTAGTCGTCGTCATCGTCATCGTCGTCGTCAGAAGGAACGAAAAGATCATTCTCTTCCAGGAAGTTGGCAATGTTCTTACTGATCGTGGCACCGACTAACAAGCCGAATATCACACTGCTGACAACACCCAGGAAGCTGAAGGGTGTTCTCTTCGGCTCGGGCAGGATCGCCCCGGACGGCGTAGTGATTGTCGACCGAAGAAACGGCTTCGATATCGTATTTGTCTTCCTAAGAACAGTCCTTCCACGAAACAATAGCGTTACTTTGCTTAACAGCATCCTCCTTCCACGAGATTTATTCTGATAACGATTAATCGCGCGCTTCTTATCCCAGATTTCCCGGAATTCACGAGCCGGTACTATTTAATAAAATTTAACCATTTCATGTAATACTGTACTGCTAACGTTAATTAAGCTGGCGAAAACACCACGATGCAGACGATATCTACAGCTGGAAACACAATGGGTACATCCAGAATGATCGCTCACCGCTCAGTGAGTGCATCTTGCATCTGATTGGTATATGGCTCCGCGGAAACTCTTGCCGCGCGGCAAAATGTAGCCAATAAGCTTACAGCTCCTAATGTGTTCATTGGTTACCGCGTCTCATTTTGTCGCGCGGCAAACGTTTCCGCGTCCAGTGTGCGGAGCCATTAGTTATGTAATGAATAAAAAAAAAGATATAAAAGTTTACAGCGTGAGTGTCCAAAGCGGATGGACCTCATGTCTACAAGCGTCATAAGCTGGAAACACAATGAAAAGCACAGATAATAGGAACAGGGAATAAAAGATTTCAACCTATCAGAAAGCGTCTATTCTAGTATATGATTTCTAATAGAATATGGTTTCTAATAGGTTGAAATTTATTATTTCCTGTTGTCTGTGCTTTTTATTGTTTCCTGCTTTATTCTTGCTTAAGCCGGCACACGATGCTTGTTTTTCTGCTGGATTAGAATCTTTGCTACTGTATTAGTTGCGATGCTGTCAGTGCTGTATGCTTGTATCGCGGACAATGTACCCTAAGAAAAGTGAACGTTGCCATGTAGTTTACATTCTCTTTATCAGTAGTGCGCGGTAGCATTTTGCGATTACATGTTTTGGGACATAATGTCCTGTCTTAAGAGTTCCGCACAATAAAAGGAATAGGGAACAGAGAATAGAGAATAAGAATTTGAACCTATCAGAAATCAATACACAGTTTCTGATAGGTTGAAATTCTTATTCTCTGTTCTCTGTTCCTTTTATTGTGCGGAGCCCCTTGGGTATCAATCATGAAACTTTACCTCTAAGATAAGATTCCCCTGTTACTGTCGTTCGATTCTAACAGGGGAATACTCGACTATTGTTGGTTCTTACATTCTGATCTGGATTAAACCCTCCGTAGAAACTAGGCCGTTGCCATCAATCATTTCACGACAAATTAAAAGTATGTTGCCACTTTATCAATCTAACGTTATTTTCACTTTCATATTTCGTGACAATTATGTTAACATCGAGTCAATATTAACTAAATTATTTAAACTTCAATTATTATCGAAAAAAAGGCTCCATAAATTTCCGCTCGACTTACCGACTCATTTTCGTTATATAAAATTGCAGTGACATTATTTTTGTTTTGCATATCATGTTTTCATATTCATATAAATTTCCAAACATCGGTAATATATTAATCGATACCTCGCTTCTGATTCGCTCAAATATTATCGCAATTAAAATGGCGCTGATCAATTGCCATGATTTTCTATGCTTCACAGCGGAGAACGGAGATGCCTTTACAGTGTATATATGAGCTGCGTTCGACTTGACGGCCTTACGCTCACGAGCATTATTTGTCCTTGTTTAATGTTTGACAAACGACAAGGATGAAATGATTCCAGGAGTATTGTGGTGTTAAATGGAAGGCAGCCATAGTTCAGTGTATATATAGTTGCTTGCGCCGCGCCTTTACGTCTTGTTGTGTAGATGGCTTTAATAATAATAACAACAATAATAATATATAGTTATTATTATCACAACCGTCGTCATCTTTAGTAATTGTAATTTTGATTACTTTACATCGATTACGTATCAAGTGTCCAAAATCTTTTTGGGTAAGTTCCAGCTCTTTTCTATCGATAATCAACAATAATTGGCCAGTAATTGGAATGGATGATAAAACCGTGATCGCTGTTGACACGATATTTTATATACGCAAATTTTTTTTTTAGAATAGTAATAAAGTGGAAAGAAAATGCTGGTAATTGTTTAGATTCCCGTCCCTCCCCCTTTATTTCTGATTTTGGTAAAATTAGGCTTCGACGCGTTTCTGCACGAAACAAAGGAATTTGGCCGAAAAAATGCGACACAGTCCCGCGAAGTGAAATATTAATAATTAAAATTGACTATTCTGGCCGCGCCTGGAGGAGAGTGGGAAGAAAGGGGAGAAGAACGGAACTCTCCACGTGCTCCACAATGCAAAGTATGTACATGTATGTGCAAAGGGTTTCCTATCTCCACCCTTCCATAAAGTCAATGTTGTAAAATTAAATCTCGTTTTGCGTGCTAAGTTAGAAACCCACAAATGATTTCACTTTCCAAACGAGTTTACAACTTTTCATACATAGCGAGAACAAGGAAGTTTTTTCATGGCTGACTTGTTAACCTAAATAATTCATCAACTTTACTCATTAATATCTCGCTTCGCAGGGTAGTGTCGCATTTTTTTCGGCCAAATTTTTTCATTTCATACAGAAACGCGTCGAATGAGCCTAATTTTATCAAAATCGGAGGTAAGGAATTCTAAATAATTATCGAAATGCGTAATCTTGTTTGCGAAATAATTTACGAGATCGTCACCCTCATCATTTCTCCTGATTTGATAGAGTTTGCCAAGTTGAATCTTGAATCATCATTCATTATCAGTATTTTATGACATAATCATTGGTTATATCGTCTCCGATACTTGAGAAGGAACACGGGAGCCATTAAGATTAGAATTGGAAATTGGAGGTATTTTAAGGTATTTATATTTCAAGAACATGAATTATAAATAACATGAGTTTTATTGATAAAATTTTAAAAGTGGATTTTAAAGAATAAAGAATCAATATCTGAAAATCTGCTAAAATCTGTAACATAGTTCAACAAGAGATGTTCTAAGAACGTCTAAGAAATTCTGTGTCCTAAAGATCCTCCAGAGAACTGTATTGTGTAGGAAATTTGAAGAATTAAATTAGATTGTATTCTGTTTGCATTTATAACATAATGAGGTTTCCTAATAATATATATCTTTATCTTCATACTTTCATATCTTGTTTTATCCATTTATATATTTGTATAACAAAGTGAATGTGCGCTCGTAAATCATTTCTAATCAAACTAGCTTGAGTTACATAAAGAAGCTGTTTGATTTCATAATTTAATAATTTAAATTCTTTTAGCGCACAGTTTGTGGTTTAAGTAAGGAAATTGTGTCCAGCAGATGTATATAATCATACACACGGCAACACAATGAAGTGCTACTATGAAGTATTAGGAGTTGCAAGAGATGCCCCTGATGATGAAATAAAAAAGGCATACAGGAAGCTAGCATTGAAATGGCATCCAGATAAGAATCTCGAAAGTCCAGATGAAGCTAAAGAACAGTTCCAGCTTGTCCAGCAGGCATGGGAGATATTGAGCGACCCCCACGAACGTGCTTGGTACGATAATCATCGAGAGGCCATCCTGAAGGGTGGTATCGGAGAGGATTACAAGGATGACTCCATTAATCTTTTCCCATATTTCTCTCTCTCATGCTTCAAAGGTTACGGAGACGATGAGAAGGGTTTCTATACCATCTACAGAAACGTTTTTGAGCAATTGGCGGCGGAGGACGCTGAGTTTGCCAAAGACAGCGAGTCCGACGAAGAAGTTCCTAGCTTTGGCGACTCCCAGAGCTCATACGAAGATCTGGTAGGCGATTTCTACGCCTACTGGCAGAGTTACAGCACCAAGCGATCCTATGCTTGGCTGGATCCGTACGATATACGTGAAATGCGAAATCGACGCATTCTCAGAATCGCCGAGAAAGAGAACAAGAAAGTGCGCGATAAGGCGAGGCGTGAGAGGAACGAGCAGGTGCGAAATTTGGTCGCTTTCGTCCGCAAACGTGACAAGCGAGTACAAGCATATGCAGCGAAGCTGGCCGAACGTGCTCGTGAGAACTTTCGCAAGGTAGAAGAACGAAGAAAGGCACATCTGTTGGAGAGGCAGAAACTATTGCGGGATCAGATCGAATCTGAATGGTCTAAGTTCTCGAACATGGAAGCAGAGCTGAAGAACATTGAGGCGAATCTGACGGCAGAATTTGGAACAGATGACAGGAAAGTAACAACAAGAAATAGCAATCCAGAAGCGTTTTACTGTATCGCTTGTGATAAGGTTTTCCAAACGCACAAGGCTTTTACGAATCATGAGAATTCAAAAAAACATAAAGAAAATGTCAGCGCACTCAAATACGTTATACCGAACGAGGTCGAGGACGAGGATCTCCATGATAGCTCTCGGGAAAGCGATTCGAGTACAAAAGAAGAATCAGTTTCGCTAAATGGACCCAAGTTGGCAACAAATTCACAGATGCCCGATTTCTTGTTAAACCTTCCTCGTAGCGAGGACTCGAGACAGAACAATGATGAAGATAATAGTAATATCTCTCCTGCCGAACTGATATCGGACGATGAGGAAAATCCAGGATGTCCTCACTCGACAGTCGACAAAAAGAAGATAAACAACTATGGAGATGTCCTATTGGCTACAGCACCAGAGATGGGCGAAAGTACATCATTTTCATCTAAAGTGGATAATGAAGATGATGACATAACATCTGAGGATGAATTAATGTCTGATCAAGATGAAGACGGCGTATTGTCGAGTCGTCAGAAGAAAAAGAAGAAGAGAAAACGTAATATTCAGAATCCTAATCCTATGCTTGAACTTGCTAGTGATGATGACACGGAGAATATTAAGGAGGAAATATGGCTGTCGAAAAAACAACGAAAAAAGTTACAACAGAGAAAAGTGGAAATAAATATACAGTTACGAAAGGAAGAGACGCGTAAAGAAGAGGAACAAGAAACAGAGGAAACAGAAAGTAGAGTGATGGAAGAAGCAAGTGTTATTAGCGAACGACTGAAAACCGACAAAGCAAAGAAAAATTCTAAAAAAGAGGAACGAGAGAACAAGGGCAAAAATAAAAAGGATCCAATCGTGAATATGGATGAATTAGCTCATCGCTGTGTTTCTTGCTCATCCGAGTTTCCTAGCAAAAATAAACTATTCGAGCATTTAAAGAAAACTGGACACTCTGTATATATACCAGAATTATCGAAAAATAAAAAGAGTCAAGAGAAGAAGAAAAAAGCAACATCTAAAGAAAAAAAATGACTCAGATAAGAAAAAACATTGAATCCAACTTATTAAGAAATATCAAATTCTTATCGTAATTAAATAATAACAGTTTAATTTGTTACAATTGACATGAAAGATGTCTTATATGTATGATATATACCCCCTCAGGATTCTATATAGGAATTACATTTTTGTGTACATATCTTGTACAAAGACCTATTAAAATACTTTTAGTTTAGTTAGTGATGACACCTCCAATTTCTTTAAGACAATATCAATATATTATCAATTCAGATATTATCAAATCAGATGATGATTAGCAATCAAATGTAAATGTGTGTTTCGACAAACTGTAAGAATGAAAATTATATATCGTAAATATACAATGTAACTAGTTTCATTATAATTGGGGTTGTATATTATAAATATCCATTAATAAATATATCAATACCATTTATTATTAAATTAATATTGTTTTCATTCTTTATCATATCAACGTGCTATTTATTTTTTCATTCTATAATATTTTAAGTTTATCGAAATATTAATTTAATTGACTGTTTTTCCTAAGCATTGGATAATTATTTCCCAATCAAAAGTTTCAATGATTAGGATTTACTGTGTGCACATTAGATTATTTCCTAAGAAAATAAAAATATTTTATATAATAGTACAAAGAAATATTTGCGTTTTTCAGGATGTACAATCTCTTACTATAGATGCCACAACTATAAGCATAATACATATAAATGAATATCATTCATTACGCTGTTAATCACAGGTGAGATGCACATTTAAAAATAACGAGCACTTACATCTTATTTGAGCTGTTTAATTTCAAAGTGGCATAAGTTAGTTAAGTCTTCAAAGTAAAATAATCAGGATGTAAAATAATATGATATATACAAAAAAAAATAACATGATATATTTTAAATTTTATGAAACCTATATACACGTCGCTTTGCAATATAACAGCAGGTATATTATATAATAACACACGCATCTATAAACTTTCTGTAGGAAGTGAAACTGAAATTTTTTCAAGGTCACACACTATGGCTGCCAAAAAACTCATTTACCCTGCGGCGGATCGTAATAAGGACCCAATATTATCGGTTTTAAAACGATATATCCAACCTGGCACAAATCAGACCCTCCTGGAGATATCCTCCGGTACGGGACAACACGTGGCACATTTCGCACCGCATTTTCCACAAGTTACATTTTACCCCTCGGAATACGACCCAAAACTTCTGGATAGCATTGCTGCGTACGCGAATGGATACTCTAATATAAAAAGTCCCATTAGAATTGATATCACCACTGACTACCGGTTATGGAGTAACGGTATCTTCAAATCGAATAGTTTAGAATATATATATAATGCGAACATGATACATATTTCGCCGTACCAGTGTACTATTGGTTTATTTAACAATGCGAATCAGTTGCTGAAACCAAATGGGTTACTAATCACCTACGGACCGTATGCTTTTGATGGTCAAATCACTCCGCAAAGTAATATAGATTTCAACGAGTCCTTGAAATTGCAGGATCCAAGTTGGGGTTTGCGAGATGTAACAGTTTTAAAAAAATTAGCTGAAGAGAATAATATTAGATTAATAGAAATCGTAGATATGCCCGCTAATAATAAAACGATAATTTGGAAAAAATGTACTCATTCATAAGTAATTGAAACTCATCAGGTTTGTCATATAATTGAAAAAATTATCCCTAATTGTAAGCTTAAATATATATGTATAAGTTTATTTTTATTCTACAAAGTTAAAGCATCACTTTTTTATCGCACAAGCGCGATTGTTACAAATATGTTTAATACTGCTACAATTATACATCCTATATATACATCTTGTATACAGACGTATATGACTATTAAAAATATTGTATATACATATGCGTATGTGCTTAAATTTACGTTTAAGTTTAAAATTTTAATTCTTGAGAGACCTAAGATTTTAATATAAAACTTATAAAATATAATAAGCATACTTTTTTGTAATAAAAAATAATACAATACAAAAATAAAATATATCTAAATTGAAGCATTTACCATAGCATTTCTAATTATCGTCATCATCATCTCCAAAGAAATCTAAATTTTCCAATCCCTCTGGCAAGTAGTTTAATCCAGATTCATCCTTGTGCATCATATTATATCCCTTACCATACTCTAAAATAATTATTTGGTTTATTAAGAACAAATTGATACAAAAAATAAAATAATTACCCAAATCTTTCATGAGTCTTGTGGGGGCGTTCCTCAAATGCAAAGGCACTCCTGGTTGTGGACCTTTATGCTCAGCTATTATTTTTTGAGCAGCTCTAAGTGCATCTTCCATTAATCTGGATTTTGGTGCTCTCGCTAAATATGTCGTACATTGTGCCAAGAGAACATCACACTCCGGCATTCCGATCATTTTGCAACCGTGCATTGTATGCACTGCTATTCCTGTACATAATATTTATTATTAAATATATTTGTCAGATCTAGTAAAGCCTAAGTGTGTTATCATAAATATTAATTATTCTTCAAATCTATTATACAAAGTGTTACTGAGTACTTTAAAAGATTTAAGGGGTGATTTCTTATATTATATAATTTAAAGGAAAGTAGACATTTTCGAAGATTTCGCTACCATTCAAGGATCGTTTTATTTCTATGTTTTCTTTCTATGTATGTTTCCGAGATTATTCGCATTTGATCTAATTTGGAATTAATTTCCTAAATAAATTATTGAAATTATTTTATAACGATGTGAATAAGGATTTTATTCATTTTATTTCGATGTACCAATTTTTCCTTAAGTCTGACGTCATTATAACGATTATTTTCGATTTCTATGAAAAAAATAAGAATGAAATAAAACGATCCCCAAGCAGTACTGAAACCCTCGAAAATTTTTCTCCTTTCATGATTATATGTCCAAAATGACTTAGTTTTAAAGACATGATGAAATTTTTCCTTTAACTTTATAATTTTTGAAAATTTTTTTCTACAACTTTATAGACGATCTGATGATTAGCTGAAACCTAATATCCTGTATCTTTGAAACTAAGCCGTTTCGAACATATGATCATGTGAAGTTTTTGCCCTGAATTTGTGTAAGGAACTTTTTAAATCTTTTAGATTGCTTAGTGATCACCCTGTTTACAATGATGTAATTCCAATTATTAAAAAATAAAATATATATTTTATGCGTGAATTCGAAAATCGTAAATAAATGATTTACTAACCAAGAGCTTTCGGATCAGCTAAACCGATATCTTCGCTAGCCATTCTCACCAATCTTCGCGCGATATAAACCGGATCCTCACCGCCGGCGATCATTCTAGTCAGCCAATAAAGCGAAGCATTTTCGTCGCTGGCTCTGACAGATTTGTGTAATGCAGAAATCGTATCATAATGTTGTTCGCCTTTTTTGTCGTACAACATATGCGTTTTCTTTAGGCTTTCCTTAATATCATCAAGTGTTATTATAGCTGGACCAACGTCTAGAAATTCCTTTTCATTTGGCGCTTTGCATCGTACTGCCATTTCTAGTCCTCCCAGCGCTATTCGAGCATCACCATCGCAAGTTTCAGCCAACCACTCTATTGTCGGTTCGTCTATAATGAATTTTGTATTGCAGGATGATTCCATCTCGATGACTTTGTTTTTCTCTAGTGTGTCTTCTTCACCGATATCTTGCAAAGTGCTTTCGCTTTTATTCGGAAATGCATGTATTATGCCTCCCAGCGAAATTACTGCACGCTTCAAGATCAATAACAGATTTGCGATAGATAATTTGTGCAAAACAATCACTCTGCATCGACTCAGCAATGCAGAATTTAAACTGAACGAGGGATTTTCCGTCGTGGCCCCAATCAAAGTAATGATTCCCGACTCGACGTGCGGCAGAAACACATCTTGCTGCATCTTGTTGAATCTATGTATCTCATCCATGAACACTATCGTATGCTGTGCATATTTAGCATGATTACTAGCGATACTAATAACTTCCTTTACCTCCTGGACACCGGCCATCGCAGCAGAGAGCTTAACGTATCGTAGCTTGCGACTAGCATCATTTTTACACATGTGCGCGATGACATTAGCCAAAGACGTCTGCAAAAAAGAGAAAGAAACTAAATATGTTCCAATATACATATCACATATATACAGAAAATTCCAAGGACACGCAATAATACTTTGCCACATCCAGGCGGACCCCAGAGAATCATATTAGGTATTTCGCCTTTTTGTAAGAGTTCGGAGAGTATAGTGCGAGGTCCAAGGATATGTCTTTGACCTACAAAGTTTAGTAGCGATGTAGGTCTCATTTGTTCTGCGAGGGGTACATCCCGTCCGTTTCCGCGCAACTTTTTGCATTCATTTTCTGTCTATAAAAGTTTTTTTTTATACATATAAGAATCTCTCTATAGAAAAAATTGCAATGCAGAAAAATTTAAGCATGTTACAAAATACAAAGTTGAGCATTATAATTTTGTATGTCATTTATATGTGATTGTATAAATTTATTTTATTACACTATAATTATTATAGTTTTAGAATAAAAAATTACACTTTTCTGTGGTGCATCTTCTTCATCCCTGAAACTTTGAGAAGAAAACTGGTCCAAAGAACTCTTCCTTTTAATAGATATTTGATTAGTTTTTTTTGCACTTGCTGGCTTTAGTTTGCTTCTTATACTCCTGGGGCTGGAATCTTTAAACAATATTGTATTTTCCTTTGTAGGTTCATTCAGGAATAAACACTTGCTGGCATGAGATTCGATAACAGAAGAAGCGAATTCCTTGGCACATATCGGACATAATACTTTATCAGTATTCATATTTATAAAATAATGATAATCAAGTTCTGATTCTTTCTTTTTTGTATTCAACGATGACTACAACGATATAGATATAATAATAAACAATGAATGTAAACTCTGTAAACCCCTCTTGACATAGAATAGCTGAAAGGCTGAAAAATAAAGACAATATAATTAATAAGATTAAAAAAAACATAAAAATAAATAAAAATAAACATAAAAATTATATAATTAATATAATATAATTAATTGAATGCGACAGTCGATCGCAATTTCTCGTTATTTTCAGAAAATCGAATTCTGTTATATATATATATATAATTTTTGAAAAAATAAACTTGTTCGACTGAGTTTTCTTTCCGCGTGTCGTTTTTATTCCGTTACAAAAGCATTGATCATAGCAAATGACGTAGTTATTAGAGATTTCAATCACATATTTTAAGAGTATCTGTATTTCAAGAGTATTGAACGAACAAGGAAAGAGGAACGAGACAACGAGACATGTGAATGAAGTACGATCGCGCGAATTCTATATCACTGTCAATAGTGTCATGTATTAATATTGTCACCATAAAGTAAGGAGATTTTTACAACACGATCGTCATGGCCTGGTTCCACCAATATAAGATTAATTTTAGTTTAACTTATTGTTTATCTTTTTCAGATTCTTAGAATCTTAGAATTCTTAAAAAAAAAAGAGTAAAATAAACCAAAATTAAAGTTAATCTTACATTGTGGGATGTCACCGGACTTTGTTTGTTTTTTTATCCTGCACTATATAGACTGAACTAGAATCCTCTTTCTTGCTTTCGTCAAATATCAAATATATACCTATTTCACTTTAAGTTCCAAAAGTGTACATCAGTTCAGAATATATTAAACAGAAACCTAACATAATTGTCGAGATAGCCACTTAAAAGAAACCACATTTAGTTGGCGTCACGCCGCCACTATTACAGGATTGTGTAAGAGTGAATTTAGATAATGGAAAAGAATAAACGTACCGGCAAAAGCAGAATTTTACCGCGCGATGCGCAGAACTATCACTGGACGGAATCGTCGGAGACGATACCGTTATATCAAACTCATGCTAACCTAAGCAACGGGGGAGCGTGCGTGGAATTTGGAAAACCACCTTGATCGCGCAAAATCTTGATCAAGCACGGCCAAGCGAAGTGAGGCCGTCCCGAAACTCCCGGAAAAGTG